AATGTTTTGGACGCGTGTATTGCTCACAGGATGGATTAACTCATGTGGAGGTCGATATTCTTTGATATGGATTGGGAATCGAGGGGTCGCAAAAATGGCAGCGAAGTGAAGTTTTGGAACATCGGCTACTTGCCTAATCGAGGGGTCGTGTCGAGGTAAACTGTTACAACGTAGTCAGGCACAGATAGCCATAGGTGCGACTGCGGCAACTAGCCTTCCGTAGACATAATACAGAAAGAAGAGATGGTACTCAGCAGAGAACATGAGCACAGAGTTGTAGCGGAGATAATTTGGCAGGCGAGACTGTAGTTGTTTTATTGTTCCGAACCCCGAAATTCCGGTACTCGGGACCATTACTCCGGAGACCCTCGGAACCTGCTGTGTTTTTGTTGCTTGTTTTTTGTTTTTGATTTGTTGTTGAGATGAGACACAAGCGCGCCTTCGCCCCTTGTGCTCACTCTCATCTAGCACCCATCAAAGCCTGACCAGGGAGTCAGTTGATAAGAAAATCTATCTACTACATTGCTCTTTCCAGGGCTCGCTCGGGCCTACCGATCTCACAGCAGTGTAGACCAACCTCTGTGATAGAGCGGTGACAGCAGTGTAACCTCTGTGGTAGACTACAAAGTCTACGAGCTACAGCAGCACCGCCACCTCCGCTGCTGCAGGACACCACATTCTGTGACTAGCTTGCCCCCCTCACCGGAGGCAGAGAATAGCAACTCGATTTATTCACTGATGGGGATTGTAAACGGTGTGGATAGTAAGACAGCAAACGGAGTCTTGCATCTGCTAGCTTGCATCCGTCACAAGAGGTACTACTGTAGTCTAGAGTGTAGCAACTCGATTCCTGCACCGCATCGGTTGGGGCGGTCCCAGCAGGTTGAGTGTTGCGACTCGATTTCGGCATCGGTGGGGGCGTGATCGATAATTCGGGTGGCTCAGTTGTGTGCGATGGGAGTGTAGAGCAGCTCGGCCATAACGGGCCGTAGGGGTAGGTAAAGTCGTACAGACGTGTTGTATCCGTGTTGTCGTGTTGTATTAATCGGGGGCGTGCTCGTGCTCGTCAAACCATCACGGTATCGAGTCACGCCTTCATGCTTTCTCACACAACGAAGCTCTCTGAATCCTCACCAAAAGCCTCTCACAACCAAGGAAAATATGTAGAAAGTTCCTGTTCATCCGCATCTCATCACTGCAATATTCGTACGTACGTACATAACATCTCAACCATCATACTATGCTACGAGTATATCGAATAGCCCCCCTGCTCGTATGCATCGTCATGCTCCGGGAAAATATCATAGTCATCCTTCTCATACCAGTTCATCCCAAAACACAATCAAAACCAATAAAACGAAAATACAAAATCCCAACACCAATACAATACGTCCGAAAATAATCAATCGCATACCAACTCTCCCAAATCAACAAGAAAAATCCCTAACACTAACTCTCCAAAGCACTACCATCTCCACTTGCCTCTCTCCATCTCTTGTTCAAGCCCGTACATATCCTCTCTCTTCCACTCCGCGGAAAAACACGATTTGATCCGAAAACACTTCTTTCACTGCAAATTCATCACAAAGTCTCTGTGCAACGCAAAAGATTCCTTGCTGATAGCCTTCGTCAAGAAATCTGCATGCTGAAACTCCGACGTCACATGCGTAATCGAAATCTCCTTCCTCTCTACCAGTTCCCTGATAAAGTGATGCCGTACATCGATGTGCTTCGAGTTTGAGTTCGTGATCGGGTTGTGCGCAATCTGAATCGCTCCCTGATTATCCTCGAAGACCGGAATGCAC